AAGGAAAGGAAAGGAAAGGAAAGGAAAGGAAAGGAAAGGAAAGGAAAGGAAAGGAAAGGAAAGGAAAGGAAAGGAAAGGAAAGGAAAGGAAAGGAGCTTGCTCAGGCTCAAAGATGCCAAAAGAACAGAATTTCAACCTGAAAAGCTCCCCAAACTCCAGCATACAATATGCAATATACAATACCTACAAGTTCACTGAAAATTAGGAAAAGAAATTAAGCCATACTAGCACAAAATCTAAACCTGGTCTGTTGGTAGCTAAAAATGTAACATGAGGAAACAGAAATTACCTGCAAAAGATAATAAATAACCTATAATAAGATAATAAATGACCTATAATAAGATCATAAAAAGATAATAAATAAACTATTAGCAACCCCTACCTATACACTGGCTAGATTTATCACTAGAAGCACAACTCCATTTAGAWTGTGGCATGTAGCAAAACTTTGCAAACTCCTTGTGCTTTACAGGTTTCCTGAGCAGTTGAGATAGGTGGGTATATGRAAGTATTCTGCTACAGCTCTTCTCTAGGATAATTAATTAATATGAAAATCTATACTTTTATACACTAGCTTCAGGATGAGTAGGTGTCAACTGACAACTTCTATATTGGCTCATACTTATAAATACTGAGTGCCTCTAATTGGCAATGCCCAAACTTTGCTTTAAAAGACCTTAGTTTTTAGCATGTGGAYAATCCACCCCTGGATCCCACAAATACTGCACTGCAGTGTATCAATACAGTTGAGATGCCAAAAATGACAGTCACCTTGAGGAGATTGATTTCAAGCAGCTATATCATCCTATTGCCCTTCTCCAGAAAATACCACATGCATCAATTCCTATGTGGAAATAAGTCTCATGATTCACATGAAACAGATATGGTAAGTGAAAAAAACATTAGAGCTAAATATGAAAACATGTCATCAAAAAGAGGCTTCTCCTTGCATGAAAAGTCATCCTTATTAAGACACTGAAGAGATTCCTGATCAGACCTCTTACTCTGCTAGTGCAAGGAGAGGCTTCATGTTTTATAAACAGTGGCTGGATCACTCCAGTCCAGATTAAATGGCCACAGTTGTGATTTGTTAAGTTGCAATTTTATTAGTTAATATATGACTATAAAAAGGAATCCTCCAAATGCTTGTAAAAGAATTAAAAAAMATTAGCAGCACTTCCTAAAAATCTTGGGATGGTGAAAGAGACCAAGAGTTCGGGATGCAAATCTTGCTTTCAGTTCTGTAACACCAACAGACACGCTAACATACAAACCTTAAACATTTTCTTAGTGTACTGTGCATGCTGACAAATCACAGCATAGATATTTTCCTTTCCCTACATATTTGAAAAGAACTGTAATTTTCCTTCTGAAATACCAAAAATAATTGGAAAATCATACATCTATCATATATCCACAGATTCTAGCCAAGCAACTGCAGGCAGAAAATCCTCCCCAGCTCCCTGGACCTGTCTGGTATTCCCTTTCTTTTCCTCTTTGCTGTCTACATAAAGCATAGTTTATGCATTTTTTTCTTTTTTTTTTTTCCTATTTAAATAACAGATTGCAATAAGATTCTTAGCTGGCCAAGCAGCTGAGTGACAGATGTTTATCATTATCCTCATCAAGGGAATGTAAAGAAAAAATAGTAATTTGTCTCTGATCTTCCCAGCAAAGGGGAATAGTCTGCAAACATTTAACCTTTTGCATGCAGGCTCATAGGTGATATTTAGAGAAGGCTGTTAATACTTCAGGAGTCAGTCTCCTGTTTGAAACTATAACAGCGTTGACTTTGTATTGTTGATTTATTTTCTCTAGATTCTAGAAAGATCAATCTCTCACGAGTTCACAGTGATTTGTTATAWAAGCTTTTGGCCGTACTATTCTTAATCATGAGCTGTCTCAACTGAAGGCTGTTCACGCCAGGCATCATCTTCATGTTAGTGCTTGCAAAATACTGATAGAAATCTTTATTTCTAACAGATTTATCTCTACATCACTATAGTACCTATGTACCTATAAAAGTTACCAAGCTTTCTTCTCTAAATGGTCCCCATTTAGAGGCACTGTTTGAGAATCAGCACTGTTTGAGAATCAGGCTGTCTAGTAACACAGTGTGACAACACAATGGAAGTGATGTAGACACCTTATCCCATCTACATTCAAGTCTTTTTAAATCRCTAATTTTCTTACAGCAATTTTCAGTATTATATGGGACAACCCACAGCACAAATGGACACTGTTGTACCTCACAGAAATGTATCTGCAAGTTAGTTGTGATGCCAAAACTCGAACAAGAATACGTCATAAAAAGTCCCCACATCTGTCTGACCACTGATAAAACACCTCTAAAGACGAGACTGAACATTTCCTGAGATTATCTTATTGATGACCAAGCAGTAAGCCCTGTACTTTCAGCCTACCAAGCCTTTCTGCAGTTTAGTGAAGGGCACAAGGCCATGAGTCCACTGAAAGAATGATCATGGTGGTACTTGATCACCACTGTTTTTTAACGATCACATATGCTACATAGATAGTTGCTCTTCGGAGTCTTCCTCGTGAAAAACTCACTTTATGAGCAACAAGTGCTCACACACAAGCTGGAAAATTCACGGGCGTAGCAGCAGCCTAGCCAGGCTGTACTGGTGGGTTATCTCGTGTGCATAAACTCTTCCAYTGGTTCAGCGACTGGACAGGCCTACAACAACCACCATCATCCTCAGGCAACCTCCATGTCTTCTCTGACCAGACGCAGTGCTTCATGGACCTCCCATGTACCGAAAAACTGGGAGAAGGCCAGGAGATATCACTGCAGGGAGATGAAGGCCAGGAGATATCACCACAGTGAGATGAATGGAAAAGGAGGAAGATGAAGCCAGAAAGAGCTTTTAGTGCTTCCTTTCTGGACAGATGTATGTACCTTCTGTACTAATAAGGCGCAAGGCACCCCAGGAAAACAGCTGTATGGAGTAAAGATCAATGACAGTGTCAAAAAAAAAATTAAAAACTACATGTGAAATTATAAACATTCAAAATTGTGGGAATTTTACTCCTGGCTGCCATGGGGATTGGATTTCACCCTACACATGTCCAGGACACACAGACATAATTAGAGAGAAATTATATCAGTCTCCTGCAGATTATAAACTCCCTGCTGCATGAGGAATGATTTAACGTGGTACAACAGGATATAGCTTTAGGTAATTACGTGCCGCTTGAAAAAGGAATAGCGCCTTGGAATATCATGATAATTTTCCTGATTCCCTATGATGGCGAGTACTGTAAGCATGTTGATCAAGATCCCAAGAAAAATGCAGGAAGACTAATTCCTTTGGAAACTTACAGCAAAACTGGATAACATACTGAAAATAGTCCTGTGCTGGCCACACAGAGAGAGCAATACTGCTAATTTCCATGATTTCATTAAATTCAGGGCAGCTGCCAGCATATTTAAGAATGTCTTGTATAACATTCCTGATGTCAGTTCCAAGAAGGAGTATTTGTCTAGYGTTTTCATTAGAGAAGTGGATCAACGAGTTTTCTGCAATCAAAAAGGCATTGTATTAAAAATGACCTAGAGCAGCAGACTTCAAAAGGTGACAGGCTAAAGGGTAACAGCCAAAGCACCGGCAAAGGGGAGGACATAAACCCATGACTGCTGTCAGAAACCAGTAGTCGAAAAGCTGCTTTCATATCTTTCATGCAGAGATGCAAGTTTGCAACAAGACCAAACATCTCACAACAAAATGCATTTATGGTATAATTCAGCGTTGAGCACTGTTTTATCTATTCCTGCCCAAGTGTTCTTTAATATTCAAACACGCAGCAAGCTGTAGTTGATCTAAATCCCCTGCCTCTTCCTGAATCTTTACGACTGGTTCTTGAGGTCCTCGTTTCATTGCATTGTGCTGCTGGATGTATATAATTTGATTAACGTACTTTCCATTTGTACTTGGTGTATTTTGTGCCAGAGGA